AGATCTGGTACCTCTCAGCTCCCAGCAGCCTGCGTGACATTCAAATCTGGCTGTTAGCATGTATATGATCATTTCAGTTTACATGTCATTCACAGGTCAATTCTAAGCACTTACTGAAGAGGGCAGGAACGCAGCTTACCAGGTATTGGGCATAACTGTCCTTATCCTGCACTGTAGGGTACCTTCCCAGCTGGCATCAAAGTTTTTCAAGGCAGGGACTGGGTTTTTTTTCTGTCTGTTCAGAAAAGCAGTCCTGAGAAATGCGTATTCCCAGTATTATGGGGAAAGACCTGAGTGCTGGGGAGCCTGACCACCTTCCCAGTTTGCTTTGGAGTAACACACAGGTGACAAGGTGTGAAAGTTCAGCTTTTGAGGCATTATTATGTTATTAAAAATGCTGTCCCTGATGGTCTCAAGTCCTCTGGGATTCTCAAAACTTTGGGGGGGGGGGGGGGGGGGTTTCCAACAAGCAGTATATTGCAAACACTGACTGCACTGCTGGGAGCAGTTTACTACCAGAACGGCAGCCGTGTGCCATGCTGGGAACGCCCAAAATCTTCCCGAGCAGCTGTGATCTGGGCATGGGGCAGAGGAGGCACCTCTCTAGATACTCTCAAGGGCTAAGCAGCTCATTGCAGTTTTAAGATTGTAGCTTTCTCCTACAGCAACCCCAGGGAGTCTGGTTCCTCGTGTGACAGGTCTTGTTTGGATGTGCTGGAAATTCAGGCTAAAGTCTGGTCTATATTTGGAGGCTTGTGCCTGTTGCCTGTGGATGGTTGCACCAGAGAAGTTGTTCTGATACGACTTTGGATTAGCAGCATTGATTCAACTGCTACAGCTTTAATGGTGTGAGCCCTAACGGCAGCATCAATTGCAGCCCAGGGGAAGTAATTTCATTGTGTTTATATACTGTTTAGGGGGAAGTGAAAGGTCACCATTCACATGGTGGACCTCAAACTGCTGCTTTAATTATACTCGTCTGCTTAAAGCAGCAAAAGCCTATTGTAGGAGAGAAGAATCATTGTCATACTGGTTTTAGACTGGTGCAAATTGAATTAGAATTATGCTCCTTTGAGGCCAGATTTTATTGCATTGCCATTTCTCATGGAGCCATTTGGGACTAAAGGTGTTTAAGAAAAAAGAACTTTTGAAGTTTTGCTTTCTAAGGAAAATCTAGTTCTTCAGTATTTTTTTACACCAGCTACAGTAGTTTCATTTGACTGAGCCAATCTTGCCAGGTCAGAGTTTATTTCTGATGACAAGCCAAGACTTCTCTTTCCATTAGGTCCACTCAATGGATTTTGACGACACATGGCATCCGGCCACACACCCATCTGGGGCGGTGCTCCCCGCCGTGATAGCACTCTCAGAGGCCTTTCCTCAGAAGGAAAAAATCTCAGGTCTCGATCTGCTCTTAGCTTTCAACGTGGGAATCGAAGTGCAGGGCAGGCTGCTGCGCTTCTCCAGCGAAGCCAGGAATATTCCAAAAAGGTACATAGAAATGCTGCAAGTAGAAAGTTGAATGGAAGCGTGGGTTTTTTCGGTGTTAATATACTTAATTAAATGCCAGTTAAAATACAAATGGCACAGTTAATCATATTTTCTATGCCATTTGCCTGGAAATTTAGGAAAGGGTCATCTTAAACGTAAATGCACTTAACGTGACTCCTTCTGCTTAGCTAATAGATTTATTTTTGAGAATATTGATCAGTTTACAAGAAGGAGGTGCCAATCTCCCTATCAATTAAAAACAGCAGCAAAAGGGCAATGTTTCACAGCACAGATGTCCAGCTCTCATTAACACATACGATCACGTCTCACCTGCAAACCATGGTTTGCGCTCAGCAGGATGGAGTCACAGGTGCCGGGCTCAGAGCAGAGCCCGAGAAGACAGGGTGTGCTTAGGGGAAAGCCTTGACGCGTGGGATAGAATAGATGTGTTCTTATTGTTTTCTGTGTGTTCCTCCTACCAATTTTGCGGAACTGGTTCAGAATAACAGAACTTGCCTCCCTCGATATGTATAATTTATAGATGACTATACATTATTTTCAGGTAATTTACAGATGACTATAAACTGTGAGGCTTTTGTCATTACTCTGGTCAGTATGCCTTGAACTATGAGCAGTTCTAATGTTTAAATTGCTTTCTGGGGGAAGACCTATTGGAAGTGGAACTATTCCAGTTTAACTTGTTCCTGGGGAAAAGCGATGACTTTTTCCATTAGGACCTCACATGAGTTCTGAATGTGTGTTTCCTTATGGTCCGATCCATCTTCCACAGCAGTGGAAGGAAATTGGAGCTAGTGTAGATAGTGAATTCAGGTGGCTTTTTGAAAAATAGTAATGAAGAGATTTTGTTTTCTCAGGTTTCACCCACCAACCGTGGTTGGTACAATGGGGAGTGCAGCAGCTTGTGCTAAACTGCTGGGTCTTGACCAGCTGAAATGTAAAAATGCCTTGGCTATTGCTGCCTCCTATGCAGGTGCCCCGCTGGCTAACGCAGCAACCCAAACGAAGCCTCTTCACGTTGGCAATGCTGCTAAGCATGGACTGGAAGCAGCTTGCTTAGCATCACAAGGCCTTCAAGGAAGCAAACAGATCTTAGACATGGAGTCAGGGATAGGTGCCTTTTACACAGATTACAACCCACAGACACTGCCAACCTTGCAGTCCTATCCTTGGCTGTTGGACCAGCAAGACGTGGCCATCAAACGCTTTCCTGCTCATCTTGGAACGCACTGGGTGGCTGATGCAGCATCATCTGTTAGGCAGAAGCTCGTGGAGAGCCATGAAAACTTGCTCCCCCTTGATAAAATTGAGAAAGTCATTCTCAAAGTCCCAGAGGTCAAATATGTGAACAGACCCAGCCCCACCTCAGAGCACGAAGCTCGCCACTCCTTCCAGTTTGTTGCATGCTCTACTTTGCTGGATGGCAGCATGTCGGTCCAGTCCTTCGCCAGTGAGAACATCCACCGGCCAGCCTTACAGGAGCTCCTCCGCAAAACACAGCTGGAGCACCCTGCTGATAACACACCGAGCTTTGAGAGTCTGTACTGCGAAGTGAGTGTCACACTTCGGGATGGCAACACGATCAGCAACCGCTGCGAGATGTTCTACGGACACTGGAGGAAACCTCTGAAAAAGGAGGACTTGGAGAAAAAGTTTCAATCCAATGCCTCCAGCGTCCTGCCTGCAGAAGCCACAGAAGGCATTCTAGAGACTGTATACAACCTTGAAAAAGTAGAGGACTGTTCTGTACTAAGTACATTTTTATCAGGACAGTCAGCTAGAGCGCTTTCGGAGAAGCTCCGCTTCCTTTGAATATTCCAACTGACAGCTAGACGCTGTTCACAAAGCAAACACAACATTCAGGACAAAACCTCTTTAGTGACTCAAGCACTTTTAAATCGGACTGCTGTAACATGAGAGCCATGCTCAGTCCAATATTGTGGTTTTTGACTAAGTAAATTATTTAGCGATTACGTGCACAGCTCAGTCAGGCTGAATAGAAGATCCTCCGCTGGCAGAGTTGGCTTCAATTATCTTTATACCTCTAGAGGCAGAGCACTGCTTGCGCATCACACAAAAATTTCACTGCTTTTTTCTGCCAAAAGAAAAAAAAATCTGTATGTTCTGCTTCTGCTAAGTGACTCCATATAGGAAATCCAAATTTCTGGAGGAGTATGGAAATGCTGTCTCTGTGAGAAACATCACGGTGAGAAGGACAGGGAATAAAAACCTTGGTATATTTATTTCTGTAGATTCAGCTCTAAAGCTTCCTTGACGAGGCCACCCGCTTCGTCAGAGCTTTGACGTTTGTGCTAAAGTAAACATGGCATACACACAGAGGAGTAGCACTTGACACTCTGTGACATATCAGGCTTCGCTGTAACGATTGGTTTTGCATTGAGAAGGTAAACATTAGCACCCTCCCTGATCACTCCAGCTGCAGAGCAAGAGGGACAACTCAATGCTCCTCTTCATAAAAACGTTATTTCCCAGTTCCAGCTCTTTGGTACAGGTTTGTTCCTGCTGTATTCCCCACTCTAGTTACAAGGCACTTGCTCAACAAGACATGATTAGCGTTAATTAGCCATGACACATTTAGATTACTTCAGGCACTGCAAAGCATGGGCGACAATACACTTGTTATGACTGAGAGACCTGTGAGCATCAGAATGCTTCTTATGCTGAGACAATTCATGTCCACAGTGACCATAACTTCCCTTGATAATGAATTCTGGGAATTTTTAGTTCCTTCCTTAGTACAAAGCCTTGCCAGATTGTGCCTCTAAGAGAGGTTGACAACCTTTGCTCACATTTCTAAGATTAAAGCATATTTTTTAACATATATATATATATATATATATATATAACTTACATTCCTTAGGGCACTAAAATACGTACGCCAAAAAATCACAAAATAAAGCTAATTCATTTAACCAACTAAACCTCAAATTGTTTCATTTATTAGAGCAAAACTCGTGTATTTTCCACAGACAATGCATTCGTTTGTACTTAAGCCTCTGACTCTTGGTTTATAAAGACAGTCTATCTAGGGGGCTCTGCAAAAATTTCAGAAGTCCATTAGTTATACTCACTTAAAGACTTGCAAGGGAAGTAAAAAAGAAACAAATAACCACTTTTTCCTTTCTGATTAGAAAGTAGAATTGAATTAACTCACCTATACTGAAGGTATACAGACTCATTTACAGCTATTTCATCTGTAATTACAGCTGGATAACACCAAATGTGAATTACTGGTAATCACTAGTTATGTGAGAAAACTTCATTGGACAAGGAGGGTTCCTACATTATCTTATCATGACTGAATATATTCAGATTCGTAAGAAAAAAAAAGGGGGGGGAATCACCACCATCACAACCTTCAACACATGCTCTCTATTTTAAAAGAGAAATAAATAGGATAAACTTAGAAATAACCATTTGATGTATTACAGATTTTTTAAAAAACCCAAACAAACCAACCAAGAACCACAAAGTTTAATAGTTGCATTATTTTATTAATACAATCAAAGGAAGCTAAATGCTTATGCCTAGCTAATTTGATGTCCTTGCAGAAGTCTGTACAATTCCAGTCAGGCAAGTTTTAGGACTTCTTGTACCATTGTTCCAATTCCATCAAAGATTTCATGCAGAGGAGCCTTGCACATGAAAGCACAGGTAGTAACTATTTTATTGGCTTTATCCACATGGGATTCATTTACATTTTTGCAAATGTGCTTACATCCAAGCTCTGCTATAGCAGATGCCGTTTCAGCATCAGGAAATCTGCAAATAAAAAGATTGTAATTAACATAAAGAGATGATACAGCCATAAAGTTTTGACAACATAACCTGAGTGAGAGAACTACAATAATATTTAAATGCCCCTTTAGCTGATGATGACAAGGGAGTCAAACAGACTGCCACTGTCAGGTTTTCCCACGGATCTACGGACATAAGCGATCTGATATCTTTGAAACAAGATCTGAAATGCAGAACCACAGTATGTCAGAAGGTACAGTTGTCTTTTTAACAATCTTTCAATAAGTTTACAAGATGAAACCAAGTACAGCCATAACTGATCCTCAAAAGTGTGAGAGATGCGAGCTGAACTTACAGACGCTTTAGACCTTTTCCAAGACCTCCATACGAGGTCTTCCACTGGGATTCTGCAGACTTTTTTTTTTTCCTGAGGATAAGGCAGGAGCTGAGGGGTGGAGGCAATCCCTCACTACTGCTGCTGATAAGAAATTCCATTCAGAAGTTTTATCAGGAGTTGACAGTCCTTGAAGCAGCACTGACTTCTGCCAGGCCCTGTTCTCATCTACCTCCCCTAAACTGGCCCCAAACCACTACCGCCAGAAAAAACTTTATTAAAAAAAACTCTGAACAGACAAAACCACACAGATGCAATTTAAACAGCCACTCAAATTACCACAGGGTACCAAATTTTTGAATGCCAGCTGGGCAAACGCCTATTCTTCACTTGCACACTAGCAACATGAATCCCGGGCCTTCAAAGGCACTGGGTAAGCAAATTCTAATATGAGCTAAAATCTATCACTCAATTACCGTCAATGATGTAACATGAAAAAACAACTTGATATCCTTGGTCACCTGCATGTTTGCACAGGTAGAATTCCATAAAAGTCACTTTGTTTTGTCACTTTCAGGACTGACTGATCCAGTGACTCACTAGCACCCACACAGCACAGTTAAGCCAGTGCAGGAGCCTGTGTTACCTTCGGTGGATCAGAGCGAGGGCTCAGGCAAGAGACAAGGCTACCTAGAGTTTTCAGACTATTAATTGTAATGTGTCTGTGGATGTTGGTATCATAGAATGTATCACAGGCCAAAGTATTTCTGAATTTAGGGATAAATTGTTCCAGCGTTGTAGTGCGCATTAAGTCACCTGACCTCATGCAGTCAGTCCATCTGACCTGAGAGTTCTGCGCCTACTATCACTAGGCAAGTAAAAATTTGAAATAAGCGAAAAATGTCACTAGTAAGTTACCCAAGGTTTACTGGCACCGGAGACCTCAGACTTTTGCACAGAAGACTGGCCATTTCCTAATCCGAATTCCCGCCCATTTCCACCCATCTCCACCCGTTTCCTTCTTACCTTCCATCTACGTTTTTATCTTGGCCAACTGTAACCTCACAACCAGGGAAGATTTTAGCTGCCAGGACTGGCGATATACAGCACAAACCAATGGGCTTTTTAGCACTGTGGAAAGCTTGGAGTGTGGAGTTCACGTGCTCATTGACAGTACAGTTCTTGCCATCTACAGCCCAGGAACACAGGTTCTTTGCTACACCAAAACCACCTAAAAAAAAAAACCAAAACAAAACAAAACAAAGAAAAAAAAGCCCAAATGTAAGACACCGCTAAAACCCGTTAAATTCAATACCAGAAAGAAGTTCTTGTTTTTTTACAGTATAACCATGGTATACATAGGACTCTTAAGTTACTGTACTGAAAGCTTTCAGCACATGAAACATGATGGGTTTACAACGTTAGAAGTTTAACTGCGCATTTTTTATAGCACCTGTATTACATAGGCCAGAAAGCTTAATCTTGCTTCAATGTGCAACAAACAGACAAATACGAAACCTCACATTCATTTGCTAGTCACTGGAAAAGCTGCAGCATCTGATATGCACCCCTCAATAAGCAAAAAAGAGATCAGAAGACAGACCAATGACGGTTAAAAGTAGAAGAGTGTCATTCACAAGAGTAACGCAAACAGTGATTTGACCCTCTAGAGCAATGCACTCTCAAGTTTTACTTCAATACTTAAGCAATTACAGGAGAGCTTTCCCCCCAGGAATTATTTTTGAACTTAAAAAAAAAAAAAAAAAGTTAACACAATAAAACCAAAATGGATATTACATAAAAAGGCAATGATAACATATGATATTGAGACATACCACTGATAGACCAATGATAACACACCAATGATAATGTAATTTCCTATTAAAAATAATGCTGAATTTGCATTCTACAAATTAGTTATAACAATCCTTTACTTGCATTTAATCTTCATTTAATTGCACAAGCAGATTATATTTTACAGCAGTTTCACTTGCTGATTTATAACCATCAGAATGATCAAAGTAAGAAGGTTATTAGTAAGTGTAACCATCCATTATATTTGATTCCTTATGGAATGCGCAGAACATCAACTTTTCTACAACAAACAAACAGAAATTTCCACAAGTATTTCATGGGACAGCATCAAGAAGCTTTACATTTTTAATATTTTTCTTTCCACTCTTTGCTCACTTCCGAGCGTTATCTGGAATCTCTGAGGTAAGATTTTAATTTTCAAACTTAATAAGGTTTATTTCCCTCTAATAGTTATTACAGCAGCCCCCCTGAGCCTGGGTTATAACAGCATGAAATTAAAGTGGAAAATATTTGCTAGCCTCCACTCCGTGATCAGCCCTGATGTCACCCACCCATTTTAGCGCTGGAAGTATGTTTCTCTGCGTTACACACACTCCCTCTGCTGGCCTTACAACAGAACACAGTGTAACAACTTCAAAGTTAACGTTTGGTCACAATCGTGAAGGCAGTATTTAACAGTACTATGAATATTCTGGAAAGTGATCTTCAGCAAGTCATAATTTCCTCGTGACTCTTTGCTTTCTTCATTTGTAAATTGATTACAATTAACTCCGTCTGAAAGGCAATTTTGTTGTCTATAAATAAAAAATTATCTATAAATAAAAAATTTTCAATAAACATATTTAGTATAAATTGATCAGCAGCAGACTAGATACGTAACTAAAACAAAATATGCTCACATCTGAAATGGAATATAATCTACCTGGCAACCTACTATTCTGCCAACAATTGCTGAGGCCCTAAAAATAAGGTATTGCCATGTAATGTCAAGTTCTGGCCTTACTTTTCTACCCTGGTCAATGTTCTTGTCTGCAAATAGGTACTCAAGTTTTCACAGTCTTTAGACAGAAGGAATGGTGCGATGTATGACCTAATGCCAAAAGAACACTCTGGCATTTTAAATTAATGAACTATAAATTAATAAACTGAGATTATTTGTCAGCCCATGAGAGCTTGCTAAAACATTTTCTCACCCTCAAAAGAAAGTAAGTGAGTAAAAAAAGAAAAAAACATATCCCTCTCAAATTCAAGGGTGCAATTTATTCTCTAAACAGATTTAAAAATAAAAAAGTAGTGGGGCAAAGCAGTTATTTGCAATTGAAAAAAACCCCACAGATTATTTTCTTTTAAAAGCACTTACCAGGGAAAATGACTGCATCGAATTCACCAACTTTCAGTTCAGCCAAATCCTGAATGTTTCCTCTTGCCAATCTGGCACTTTCAACCAACACATTTCTCTTCTCTTCTGTTGGACTTCCTTTTAGGTGATCGACTACATCCCTTTGCTCAATATTGGGGGCAAATATCTTCACCTAGAACATAGATATGAAGCGATTTTGTGAACATAAACAGAAGTCATACATACCGGTCATAATAAAGATCATTTAATCAAAACAGTTTTTGTTCCTGAAGTCTCTTATCCAAGAGAAGTTGATCCACAGGATGGATCTATTGTATGAAATTACTAAAGTAACAGATGACATATTAGGATGGGTAAACCCGGCCACCCACCCCATCCTATTCCTGCAGCTTTTTGACAGGAATGCGTTCTTAGGCCAACGTTAAGCTTACTTGCCAGGGCCTGCCTTCCCTCTGCAGATAACCCCAAGGACAAACAGAGCACCACCATGTACACAGCTGAGTCTGCAGAAAGGCTGCTCTTAACTGTTATGGGATCCAAGAGCTTTGAGAGATTTATTAAAAATTAAAAAAAAGTTTAAAGGATAAAGATGCAAACTTTACAAGCATTTCCAGTGCAGACATTAGAGTTACTTGCTCTCCTAAAAGACTGGTAGCAGGAAGGAAAAGCAAAACATAAAAGAACCCATTTTGGTTAGGCACAAAAGGGGAAAACTATATCAAAAATATAAAGCTCTGTGAAAGCTGGACTGCAGGGGCTGTTTTCACACATCTGTTTTGATGCTTGCTTTGCAGACTTCTCAGTGCTCAATGCTTCAGGTAACTTCAGAAAGGACAATTTTGTGCTAAATATGGGGGTGCTGTTGTTATCATCAGACAGCTGAGTGTGACTACACCCAGACAGAAGGTGACCACCTTCTGCCATCTGAAGCCACAGACGGGAACAAAGCACACCACTGCATCCTGACTCACACTTCTTCAAGGAACCCGTCACCGAAAAAAAAAAAAAAAAAAGAGAAACAGCTAGCAGAAAACAAGCAGGCAAACCCCAGCGAGGGCGAGCACCTGACTTCTGCAAAAGCGATCGGAAAGTGAATCAAGAAATTTAACCAGGGCCCATCTTCAGCTCCTCACAGCCTCCAGCAGGGACGAAGGTGATCAAGGGAATGAAGCATCTCTCTTAAGAGGAAAGGCTCAAAGACCTCAGTCTGTTTAGCCTGGAGAAGACTGAAAGGGGATGTCATCAGTGCTTATAAATATCTAAAGGGTGGGTGTCAAGAAGATGGGGCCAGACTCTTGTCAGTGGTGCCCAGTGGCAAGACATGGGGCAAAAGGCACAAGCTGGAACACAGGAAATTCCATCTCAACATGAGGAAAAACTTTACTTTGAGGGTGACAGAGGACTGGAACAGGCTGCTCAGAGAGGTTGTGGAGTCTCCTTCCCTGGAGAGATTCAAAACCCGCCTGGATGCATTCCTGTCCAGCTTGCTCTAGGCGACCCTGCTCTGGCAGGGCTGTTGGACTAGATGATCTCCAGAGGTCCCTTCCAGACCCTACTATTCTGTGATTCTGTGAGAGGAGCAGGAAAAGGCCTCCCGCCACTCCTGCCTCCCGGGTTCAGCCGCCTGCCTGG